TGTACCTTAAAATCTTAAATTACGACATATTTTTTAATGTAAAATTTTTGAATTTCTGTTATAATGCAATAACTTTAGTATTTTTTCTGTTCTCTTATTTCTTATTTCACATTTATTTCGTATCTAGTGTAATAATATTTTGTTATTAATTAGGTTAAAGTTGTTTAGTTTAAACCCATTATGTAAGAAGCATTGGGAACACTTTTTTGGGTATGTCCTGTTTGTGTTCCAAACAAAATAAATAAAATAAATAAATAAATTATGATAAAATCCTTATGTTAAAAATAAAAAACAGCTATTTACTAAAGATCCATCGAATTTAGGTATAGGAAAATCTTATATGGAATGAAAGACAATTTAAATGTCTATCAGTTTATGTTTTTAAATACAGGGTGTGCCATTTAAAACAGGAATATTATTCAACTCCATATGTAAGTTGAATTGAATTAAACTAAATGAGCACCCTGTATGATGTAATGGAAAAATTTTAATTTTATTTGACAGTCTAATTTTGGCTACGCATATCACAGGTGACGGTTGATGTGTTTAAAATAACCGCAACATACTAGGTTATGTTGTTCATACTTACAAATTAAGAATCCTTTAAATGTTTCAAAAACGAAAAGAGATAGGTATAGGAAACATTACAGAAACTTTACAATATATTTTCCGGAAATCAAAAGGCACCATCAAATATAGGGTGTTCCCTTTAAAAAAAGATAACTTTGATATAAATTCGTATTTTTGGGTCACCCTGTATCATCCAAATTATTTTTAATTTGTAGTGGTAATGGCCCTGTATATCTCTATTAAGAAAAAAAATTCAAATTTTAAGTCGTTTTCCTACAGAGACCGACGCGTATAGGATGCGCCACCCTGTATAGCTACACTATAAAACTTTTAATTCCTAAAGAGTTCAAAGACAACAAAAGCGCTGAATAACTATTTTATCATGTTTCGGGCAGGACAAATACTATTACTATAAATACTATGAAACATAAGTTTTACTGAAAAAGTACCAGTTTATTTTATTCAGCCATTTTGCATAATTCATTTTAAAACCTAAAAATGTCAATTATTAAAAAACAGTTTTGTCTAAATGAGGACCTGTAGAAGATATTAACATAAGCAATAAAACAACAAATGTTTTATTTAAATTAAAAATATGACCTTCTCAAATCACAGTTTAAATTCTTTCTTATTTTTTAATCAACTATTTTTGCTCTAAATTAGGGCGCCCAATGTTTTGACGAAATTAAAATTTGTTATTACAAATCATTATAATCTTTAAATTATTTGCATTATACAGTGAGCATCATAAGTCTTATCCCCCCTATCTAACTCGTTACTGGAGTCTTGTTAAGAAAATCGCCGAGACACTTAGATTTTTGATTTCTACAATGTACATTTTTGTATGAATAATTTACCTTTAATTTTATCCCTTACTAGAGGGGAGAACCCTTTCGAAAAATTTAAAAGGCATGGGGTGGTGAGTGATAGCTCATTTGAAAGGGAGTTTTATTCTCTATTCAACCGTGCAAAATTTTTGAAATTTGCTTCAATAATTTTCGACTAATTATTGATTCAGAATAACGGAAATTAACGTAGCGCATTCATCCTTAGTATTAAAATTTGGCCCTGCATGATATCGGTTTTGGTTCAGACGTGAAGTAAGACTTTTTGCCATTTGATAAGGTCACTGTTAGTTTAGTTGCTTTCCTATTTGTGATGTTTTGTTATTTTTAAACATTAATAAATCAACACGTAATGAAGCAAATTTCAAATTTTTTTGCACGTTTGAATAGAGAATAAAACCCCTTTTCAAATGACCTATTACTCACCACCCCATGCCATTTAAATTTGTCTGTTATGTAAAGTTGTCGTTGAATTAGTTGAAATAAAAAAGAGGTAGGTATTGCTTCTTAAAAAAATTATCATGTTTATTTTTTTTTGTTTTAAACATTATTTTTGACAAATTCTGACTCAATATTTAGAATAACATCAGATATTTTTTTACTAAATATTGCATCTTCTTAATGTTTAAAAATTACTTAGGTAGTAAGTTCTAGTTCATCGTCACTCTCATTGTCGGAAACATTGGACACCTGTTTGTTTTCTTTAAAATCAATAAAATAACTATCTAAGTTTACTTCAGGATATTCCGCCAATAGGACTGCATCAATCTCCACGTAGTTCAAAACATTTTCAACTCCAATACTTTCGCAAAAGGTTTAAAATGGAAAATCGTTTTCCAGGACCTGTTGCTTCAGATTTTCCACAATTTCTTCTCCATTACTAAAGTTTCTTAAAAACTAATAAATTAAATTGTTTTGATTAAAAGGGTTTTCCATGCTCCCACTTTTCAAATTAAGGCGTAAGCAATCGTTATGGACTTCTTCAGTTCAGCCGTTAATAAAAAAACATTCTATAGAGGATAACATTCTCCTCATCAAATCTTTCTATACAGAAATTTAAAGTTTTTGATTGTTCCCTGGTCTAGCGGTTAACATTGTGCTGGTGCCGGTGGCAAAAATATTATCGATATGTTGGATAACTGAATATTCGGATGGGATGTTACGTTATCTAGGAACAAGATAATTTTTCTTTTTTGACATTGCATTTTATTGTCAAATTTGTGCAGCCAATCTGTAATGACATCTTTGATTATTCAGACCTTTTTGGAGTTTACCAAGTTAAAAATCTTTAAAATATCGGGGTTTCTTTACTTTTACCAATCACCAAAGGTCTTGCTTTTTCTCCATTTAGATTTGCACACAATAATACTGTCAGTCTTTTCTTAGCAGACTTACCCCCAGCACTTTTCCTTACGAAATGTAAAAGTTTTACTTGGTCAGGCTCATTAATAAAGACCAGTCTCGTCAGCATTATAAATATCTTCACTTTTCTTTGCCACTCTGAAACGTCGCCAAAGTTAATATTTGCAGCTTCTCCAGATATTGCTCTAAATTTAATATTATGTCTTGAGCAAACCTTGTCGATCCAACTATTGAAAGCTTTAAAATTCAAATTGTTTTTTTGCGGCCTCTAAATCTTTTTCTTAATTATTAATCCAGATAATGGAACTTCTCACTTTACAAAACTAATCGTGTACTATAGAATCGATGGCAACACAGTTTATTCCTCTTTTTTTGTTGTAGAGTTCCATTTTCACTATTCAACTTTTTTAGGTCGGTATTTTTCTTTAAAATTTAACTAACTTGAGTTTTTCCTATTTCAAACTTTTCAGCCAAAAGTCGAGCCCTATAATAATTTTTTTTTTAAATTCCTCTATCACCGATATTTTTTTAAACTTTTTCTTGTTACACTTAGATCAGAATATCGCCACTAAATTAGGAATGTGTACAAACGATGAATAAATTCTAAAATGGGTTTCTCCAAATCAAACTCGAAGTACTTAAGTTTCTAGATTTATGATTATAAGTACCTACCTACTTATTTTATAATTACAATGAATTATTTAAAATTCTCGAGTTTTGGAGCCTCAATTTTAAACGCATTTATTGTCCGTTGTTGGCAAGTAAAATTACAAGAATTTCATATAAAAAATTAAGGTAAATTTTGTCGGAGTGGTTATGAAGAAGGTTCGTTGTTCGGGGGGTGTCTTAGACCATTTACCTACCAATGAAATATTCGGTGACAAAAACTGTCCCTTTAGTAAAGTTTTCCGTTGTTGAGAGGTATCCGTTAACAGAAGTTTCACTGCAGTAATATAAATGTTCTAACAATATATTTATAACGCTGTACAATATCACTATTTAATATTTTTTAGAAGTACTAAATGACGTACGTAAATTTGTTGTACAAATAATCTTGGAGATACACTTTTAAGAGAGTTTTAACGTGTTGAATAATAGTTGTCTAATTTTGTTACAAAATTTTTAGAGAATAAAAATATTGTATATATTAGAGCCGGTACATTTTGGCTTCTGTATCTGTATCATGTGAAGGGTGGGTTACCCCATGGCACTTAGGCTTCACTAGTCCCATTGTGCTTCTTTCTTAATTATTAGGCACCTTCAGATTTATTATAGTTGACAACGTCGCCAAGAGATGCTTCCTGATATCGGCCGATATTAAGAGTGTCGGCCAATCGTAGAGGATATGCTCGATGGTCTCATCTTCTTGTTCGCTTCCGCTGCAGAGTGCGGATTATGCCATCCTCATGATATGGAGATGCTTCCATAGTTAGCAATGTGCAGTCAGAATACCTGTGATCTGGCGCACATACCGTCTAGTCATAGTCAAGTATTTGTTTGCTGTTGTGTTGTCAGGATAACTTAAAAACTTCCTGGCAACTCTGCAGTGTCTTGTTTTATCATATCTTTCCTTGAATTTTACAGGGAAATGTTCTTTAATTAGGCCTGTCACTACTGATGTTGTCAGTCCAATAGAAGGGCTAGGTAAAAAAGCATTTGTTTAGCTGCCTTCTCGGCTAGTTAATCAGCAAGACGGTAAGCATTCGATGTGGTGTGACCTTTAATCCATCTTAAAGTAACACATTGTTGATAGATACTTCGACCAAAGCTTCATAACATTCTAGTACTAATCCTAAGTAATTTCTTTGTCTGTCCAGGGTGAGTAGTACTTGTCTGCTATCTGTATAGATGAACATGTTCCTTTCAGTAATATTATTTCTGGAAACTTCTTTTGCTACTATGAGAAGCCCCGTGAGCTCGGTGGCTGTATTATTATTAAATTTAGTTTTTAAACACATTATTGGATTTACATGTATCTATAAGATATGTTGTGTAAGAGTTATAAAAACCCTTACAGTACTTTTTTGCATGTTTTCAATATGAAAGAACGAAAGGTAAATGTTCATTAGATTTTCGAACGACGAACATAGGTTTAATGTAAATGCATTACTAAATACTAGAGACGTTCAAATATACTGTATATACTGTAGCTTTTAAACGTTTTATCGTCAACGGACAAAACCCATAAATTAAACTACCCTGTATCGAAAAAAAAGTACTTACCGTACTGTTCTTTTACATTCTGATTCATATCGCTTAGAATCGAGCGACCAACTTTGTACTAACAAGTCTTGTTTTAGATACGGAGCAATTATATCTGAGTAAAGTTCTCTGTAGTCTCTACCGGCTTTAGCAATAGATAAAAACTTTTCGTTTCGTTTTGACAATAAAATTTTCTTGCTGGTCCATGGGCTGCCATTGATGATGGTTTTTCTAGCTGCATTATCCAGCTTCGGCACCAAAGGTTTTATACCTTTGGAGATGTACGATTTGTAAATGTTTGGTTGGTTGTAGTAGAGCTGGCGACCTGTTAATAAAAAAAGGAATTAAAGTTAAAGGTAGCTGCCAGTGTATGTGTGAGTTATTGAGTAAAGGGAATGAAATTAAATTAGGTCCTTAAGCTCTCACAGAATTATTTATTCACGACTGTTTTCCAGGTTCTCTTATAACCTCATCATCAAGTGACAGTCTGATAGTCGATAAAAAATTCAAATCAAAGAATTAATCCAAGCGGATGTTTTACAAAAATGAAATGAAGTAACTTACCGCTAATAATTGTCTAATTTAGACTAGCAGGGGTATTTCCCAAAGAAAAAAGATGACATACGAAACTAATATAGAACATTTTATAGTTCAACGATTATGATTAACGAACAAAATAGCAAACACACACACAAAGAAACAAATCAATTTAAAATAAGTGACTGGAACAGAAAATTAAAATTAAAAGCTGTTAAACTATAACAAAATGTCTGAAAATGTTTTTTTTTTTAATTTTCATGATGATAAAATCTCTAGACATTAAATTAGTGAACAAATTAATGTAGAAAACTGTATTTTGTCAGTACAAAAGTAAATGTGTATGTTAAAATTGTGACTTATACTCGATTTTTTTTAATATTTCATGAACTATTTAACATTTTGTAACATAACTTTTCTACCGTAAAAGCATTTTTTTCACATAAAAACACGAAATCTGTACAGCCCACAAAATTTTAAAAGTATCGTTAAAGGATTTATGTTTTTTAGGTTATTCTTTTTATATGTTATGCAAGTATACAACTGATTTTGTTAACGGGAGAAGGGATGCCACCTGTACGGGTTTAAGGACCCAGAAGAACCTGGTTAGCTGAGGACATTGTTTTTTTTTTCTTCTTTTTTTAGAACAAAGGTCCGGATTTTGAAGAATTAAAAGGTGGCAACTCTAAACAGGAAAAGTGGGAATTTTTATGGCAAGTGGAGGTAAAAATCGTACTTCAAGTTTGGCAACACTGGGCCAGCTTTTAAAAACAGTTTCTCGGCAGGGACTGGTCGAGATGAGATCGAGAGTTTTCTAGTCTCGTGCGCACCACTAACTTTGTTAATCCTATTTTGTTTATCGATGAAACCATCTTCAATAGAAATGTCATTACGAATTACCAGAACGAATACAAACGGGTTGAAGAAAATCCTTACGCATAAAAAGTGACTCGTCACCAAAGGACTTTTAAAGCCAAGCATTGTGAACAATAACTTAATAGAACCAGTTTTTCTTCCAAATAATTTAAATGGTGCAAATTACATGCAGTTCTTTCAAAATGATTTACCAGAGTACTTGGAAGTGGTAAATTTAGGAATAAGGCAAAATATGTGGTATATTTACAAGTGCATTTCGATAACAATGTTAGGGAATATCTTTTCGGTCTTTACCCTGGAAGTTGGATTGGAAGGGGCCCTTATGCACTTATTTTTTGGCTAGCCAGAAGTCCAGATCCTAACCCTATTGACTTTTGCTTCTGGGGATTCATGAAAGGGGACATGTATTCTGTTGAAATAATAGATAAACGACAATTGAGGCATCGAATCATTGAAAAATCAAATCAATTTCGTCCGAAGCCAGTGATCTACCGAAAAATTCAGTTTTTCCTTTTTAAAACGGTGCCGAATGTGAATTTAGGAAAATAGAGGCCATATATTATAGAAAATACTACACATATGTAAATATGTTTTATACCTGCAAATTACATGAATACTCAGTTATAACTTACTTTTTGTCACAATAATAATTTAATTGTAACGCATAGAAAAGTTTGGGGGGTTTTAGGGGTTCAAAACCTCCCTAAATTTTTTTAGCCTGTACAGATTTTGTTGTAGAAATGGGCTGATTTGGCTCTGCTCCCAGAATCTGGTTTATACAAGATTACATAGCCTGGAGCGCCATCCTCAAGGGGTTGCGTCGTCAGGATATTAATCTTGTGATCCGTTAGGCTGTAGCTAGATTTACAATTTTTCTGTTGCACATTACTTCTGCTCCCGTCCACTCCCCGCCGTATCTATATTTCTCCTTTAAGAGAAAACTGAATAGTCAATAGCTCTAAGACGCTTAGAGGAGAGATTCCGAAAGTCCGCCTTGCCGAAGACCGTAGACTTGCTACAATGCCGCGTAATACTTCTGGTTTAACCGCCGTTTTCCCGACATTGTTTCATTTATAAATGCCCTCATTTGTCCAAATAAGTTTTTATTTTATTTTGCCCCTTAATTTGCGTTACAATAATTTTTTAATTTTGTTCAGGGTTAGATCTAATAACTTGGGGAGGGCTTGTAAATACAATTATTTAGCTTTACCGAATAATAACCGAAACAATTGTAAATACTGAACAATATGTGTGTCAAATTGTAACCTGGCATTTCATTCCCTTTTCGTAAATCTCTTTTCAGGTACTATCTAACTAATGTAATATCGTTGAACTACTGGAATTTTCTTTCTTCACTGCAGCTACCTGCAGCCTTTCTTGGAACTTGTTCCAACAGGTAAAGTGGAGCAAACCACTCTAAAAGAAACTGACGCCCGAGCAAACACAGTTCGAACGTCACAAGTGAGAGTATTTCTAACCAGTTGAGAAAATCTCTCACAGTTTTATGCTTTCTTACGACAAGAAAGCCATGTACCCATTCTTATTACAAAATGTTAAACAGTTCATGAAATATTGGAAAAAAATCGATTTTTACTTGTACTTTCCAAGGGCTGTAACTTTTTTTGTGTGCACATTTGCATTAAGGTAAGTTATGTTGAATCGAGTTAATTTTGAGCCCAGAATATGCGTTTCCATTTATGACCTACCTTTTTGTTACACCCTGTATATTATTAATATTTATAACACTGATTCACAGAATATGTGACAGGCACTATCAATATTATATGATAATCTAGGACTTAACAATAAAGTAGGGAAAAATAATTTTAGGGACAGAAAAAGGAAGAAAAAGAAACATACCATAAAAAAATAAAAACAAAGTTTGGTTATAATGAAGAAAAAAACATAGGCCGAAAACTGACAATTGACATTATTTATTGGGAGAAGAATTATTGGACCTAAAAAAATGATTACAAAATCGTGCAGATGCCATCACCACATCTTGACCAAATTTATAGGAAACTACCCCTGAGTTACCCGCTCACTAACAAAAAAAGAATCATTGAAATCGGATACCGTGTTAAAGAATTATCGCTGAACATACATTAAAAAAAAAGAAAAATATTACGACGAATTGAGAACCTCCTCATTTTTTGAAATCAGTTAAAAAGAAAAGGAACCTAGGTTGTTAATTGAGGAAGAAGGAATAAAATTACAATAGTAAAGATAGGAGGGGGGGGGGGGCTGACAGAAAGGATGGGACTTTTTGTAAGATTGAAGAATATGTAGGTGTGGATAATTTGTGAATTTAAAAATAAAACTGTTGTATTTTTTTTAATTCTCAACATTTCTAGATTTTCAAAATTATTTAATAAATATGTAAAACTTTAAAGCCTACTGATGAATCGAAATCGTGATTATTATCTAGTAAATGGGTATTAAAGTGGAAAAATCCAGTTGTGTGAATGTTCAAACAATGAGTGTGTTCCTCCATCTAATTTTAAAGTTCCTGAATGTTCTTCCAACGTACTTGGCTGAGCAATTTTTAAAACTTAATAAATTCCACACTGATCCAAAATATCAACTTTATCTTTGTTTCTAATGAATACATTATTGACTAAGAAGATTTTAAAGTGTTCTTTAAGGATATTAGCCAGTTTATATGAAGGTTGTCGGATAAAGGTAAGTCAAACGTACTTATTATTGTTAAACTCTAGATCTGAGGGGTTATTAATATATACCAAGTTTTGATTAATTCTATTTTGTTTCTTCATAGCATTTTGTTCTAACAAAGTTTTTAATTAAATTAAATAAATTATTTCGAAAACCTAGAAATATTAGAAATTACAACAGTTTTATCCTTAAATTCACAAGTTATAACCACACCTTTCCCTTCAATCTTATAAAAAGCTTCATTCTTTTTGTCAGCCTAATTGAAATAGAGTAACTTACACCCTTTCATTTGTCTTTTTCAGATTATCACTTGATGATGAGGTTATAAGAAAACCTCGAACCTGGGCATGATTAAATAATTCGGTGAGAGCTTAAGGACCTAGTTTCATTTCTTTCCCTTTAAAAAAAGGATTAATGGCGCGATTTAAAACTATATAGAAAGGAATCGCAATCAAGATAAAAGGAGATAAATTTAGAAAATGTAACGTGGGTCAATAAACAATAATAGACTACTAATAATTTTGACATCAAATATTTAATCATATTTTTGTAATAAGTAATTTTACTTAAACTTTTATTTGCTATGATTACTAATTTAATATAATTACTAATTTAAACTATACAAATGGACCAGTGCTCCTCAACTAGGCAAATACCCTAGGGATTTACATTTTTTTGGGAGATTTAGACAAGGTATTCCTAGTTCAATATTTTGATTTTAAAAAATACCAACTATTTCAGTTTCAGTTAAATTATAAATGCATTCTCTTATTTCCAAATTAGAATGCATTTTATTGCAACTGAAATACAAAAAGAGTAACTATTTGTCATTCTTTTAAAATTCTTCAACACATTTTAATTGGCTTAATAAAATTTTTTATGAATAATTTAATTGTTACTGTTAAAAACTACCTTCTGATAGTTTTTTTGCAATAATGTATCGTGATGATTTGTAAATATTTCTAAATTTTATAATTATTGCAATGATGTTATATTCATTAAATCATATCATGGCTCAGTCATAAGCTAGCAAAAACAATGCCTAAAACGAAAAATGGGAAAAGAAGTAGAAGTGGGAGAAAACAAAAAATGTAATAAAAACTCCATGTGGAAAACTTCTAGTTAGGAATAGAAGATAGTCCTTACTTATATTTCTAAAGACTACTTGTTTGTCTTAAGTTAATAGGTATTGTCAAATCTGTTACAGCCATATTCACCATTTTCGTTTTCAGAGTGTTA